TTTATTTAATATGAAAAGATCGATTTACTTAATAAAAACTTAGCAAAAATAATGTTTCATTGTACCGCCATTAGTTTCGCCAGGGACTGTATAATACATACAATTCTTTTCCTGATACAATTTTGCTAAAAAAAACTGAAAATAAGTCTAGTAGTCAGTAGATAGTTTGAGTAGACCATGTTTTTTCATTACAATCAACTTGCAAACTGCCATAATGGTAATAAAGAATGAAGTGACAAGAAATTTCTCTAGTCCATAATAATAGTGGACTTGGATTATCAGCAAGTGGTTGATCCAACTTTCCCAATGCACTTACAATATCACCTGCAAGTAATTCCTCAAGATATTGCTTAACATCATCAGGAAGTCTTGCTGTTATATTATTGATACCACCAGCTATTTCATTGTATAGCCCTTCAGCATCTAACATTGAAAGCTTAATAAAAGGTTTAATGAGTAGGTAGATCTGCCAACTTCTTAACCCTAAGAAAATTTCTTGTGCAATGTTGATTTTTTTCCTACCCTAATAACATCATTTGTTATGACAAAATATGATGTAAGTAAACTTGATAGTATTTGAAAAGAAAAAAAAGTAACTTACAATGTTAGCAATAGTTGATGCAGCAACAAAAGTGGTTGTAGTTGATGATGATAGTGCTTGGCTAACAGGTTTTTTTGTTTTGTTTTGTGACTAATGCAAAAGAAAAAGAATGATGTAATCAACATCACTTTAACTCATTTTTCATACCTGATTGAATTTTTCATTGAAAACATTATCAATATCCTTAATGACAGTTGCCTCAGTTGGTTGATTTTCTTTATCAAAAAAACAATGTTCTTCCTCAAAATTTCCAAGGTCAGCATCAAGTTGTTGTTCATTAAGATCTTGTGATTGTTGATATTGATATGTTGGAAAATAATCATCTATTTTTTTCCGTTTTGTAGGATGATTTTGCATGATCTGTCCATTCAAAAATATTAATACAAAATAATCAGTTGTGTTGATTCTCAACTTCTAGCTGAAAAATGCATACATATACCTCTTTTTGTTCTCTTTTTGTAAACATAAATGTATTAGTTCCGCTTATATTCTCTCCTATATTCCCATTGTTATTTTCATAGCTTATAAATTTTGGTTGGTGAAAGTAAACCGAAGATCCATCAATCATTTCTACTGATTCATGCTCTTTCTCCCAATCTCTTGCCAAGTCACAGTCTCGTCCCTAGCATAGAATATTTGGGTAATTAGTAATATCCTTAAATATCATTATACATTCATCCCGCCGGACATAACATCAGATAAGCTCGCAGGTCATCTGCGTTCCTGGAAGTGCTAGTGTCAGGTCGACTCTTAGGGACTTGAACACAGGCAAGCTCGTAGGGTCACTTATGCGTAGGACTTGAACATAGGCAAGCTCGTCGGATCCCGTATCCCCCAACACTAGTTTTTCTACCACGACACTTATTCAACACAAAAACTCTTAAAATTTTCCTGCCTGTAATCTTTAATCAACTGTTGTGCCTTTTCGCGCCTTCTGCCCTTCTCTGTATTGGCAATATTCTCAAGAGACAAAAGGTAACACTGTATTTTTTGTCTAAACGGTTCAATATTACAATCACCGAGGAATCCAATAAT